TATTTTCAAAACTTAATTAAATCAAATTCTTTAAAACGATTCAATTAATTCAAAAAAATATTCCAAATTCAATTATTTTCAATATCTAGTATTTTCATAAAATTTCGCAAAAGAATTGCATTTTCAAAAAAATTTTGAAAAATCAATTATTTAACAAAAATTTTTATACAATTCTTTACAATAATTCAATTATTTTCACTAATAATTACATTTTTCATGAAATTCAATTTTTTAAAAAAATTTTTAATAAAATTCTTCGCAAAAATTCAATTATTTTTTAACATTTTAATGAAATTTTTCGAAATAATTCCAATTATTTTCATAAATAATAAAATTTATCGCAAGATTTCAATTATTTTCGAAAAATCAATTATTTTGAGGGATTTTAATAAAATTGTTTGCAAAATTCAATTATTTTCATAAATAACAATATTCTTCAAAAGAATTCAATTATTTTTAGAAGTAATAAATTTCTTCTTGAAAATTTAATTATTTAAAAAAATTCTAATAAAATAGTTTGTTAAGAATTCAATGATTTTCATAAATAATAAAATACTTTATAGGAATTCAATTATTTTCAAAACAATTTAATAAAATGACACACAGACATTCAATTTTTCTCAAAAATTTTAATTAGATTATTTATAAAATTTATTTATTTTTAACAACTTTTCGCAATTCAATGATTTTAAATATCTACTATTTTTATAATATTTCTAAACAAAAATTCAATTATTAAAAAAATTTTTAAAAAATCTTCGTAAAAATTCATTTCTTTTCAGGAATAATAAAAATTTCTAAGGAATTCAATTATTTAAATTTGAATTTGTATAAAATTAGTCGAAAGAAATTAATTATTTAAAAATTTTTATAAAATTCTTGGCAAGAATTAAATTATTTTTATAAATATTAAAATTCTTTCATGAATAATAAAATTCGTTGCAGAAATTCAATTTATTAACAGGATAAGAAAGAAGTAAATATTTTTGATGAAAATTTTGAAAATGTAAGAAAAATAAAATATAGAATGAGATTTTTGTCAGTTTTGTAAAGTTTTTAAAACGAGTTTTCTTGGTCGTCAAGTTTAATTTTTCGATAGCTACTTTTTTACTACTTTTTTTTAGTGCGAATGTTACTTTTTGCTATTTTTTTTTTTTAATAAATTATCGATTGCGAAATCTGGAAATTATAACAATAAGGAAAATATTTTCTTTTTTTATGCGACTGGACAATACTTTTCATTGCGGTTTCGAGGTACAGAGTGAATTGTACAGGCGCTCAATTTTTGTTTGCCTTGGGGGAGTTCCCTACAAAAAAATGTTTCACCTTTAATTAGACCTTCTTCCTAAATTTGTACATTTGGTGAATTCTGAAAATTTAAACCGCATTCGTTGTATTAGTAAAAGAGAAAAAATTCATTTATCGTTAAGAAGGAAAATCCAAAGTCAATAGCTAATTAAAATTATTAATTCCTCCATCTGGTTGAAAATTTATATAATTATTATTATTTGTTTATAAATATTTATAAATTGTATAATATTTGGTCCTCAAAGGAGTTAAATATTTGAATCGAAGTGATCCTTCATCTCAATGTTTATAAATTATTCAATATTATTATAATTAAAAATAATGAATAATTGGTATTAAAAATGTTGATGGAACAATTTTTATGCTAATATATAGAAAATTTTTGGGTATTAAAAATTCCTAGTATTAAAATAATAGACCGCTAAGGGAACAAAGGGTCATCTGCTTTTAATCTCACTAGATCCTTAAAAGTAGACCATAATTGGATAAAACCCTTGGGAAAGAAAATTCATCTTTAGGTTCAGTAAAGAACTTATATCAACACACATTTCACAAAAGCTTAAAGAGCTTTGCCTGCCTTTGTTTGGAAAAAAATGTTATAATTAAAAAGTGAAAAAATACAATTTAAACGAATTTTGAGAGAGAAAAAATGTTTTTTATTAAAAGAATATTTTACACACGATTAAATTCTGACTTAATTTAAAATTACGTTTTCACATTCATACGTTAAATGGTTTTTCTTTTTTGTTCTTTTTGTTATTTTACTTTATTTACTTATTCAGTTGTTTTCTAATACTATTTTATTTTAATTAGTTTGACAAATATACTATTATTACTAGTAATTATTAAAATTAATATTGAATTAATACCTATTAATATTACTAGTATTATTGCTAGCAGTATTACTATTAGTATTCCTATTATTATTACTATTAGTATTACTATTATTATTACTATTAGTGTTACTATTAGTGTTACTATTAGTATTACTATTAGTATTACTATTACTATTAGTACTGCTATTATTATTATTGGTATTTTTGTTTTTATTTTTATCTAGTATTTTTTTTTAAACAATTTTTTTTAACCTAACTTACCATAATTTTTATTGTTACTTTTACTATTTTTTTAATTTTACTAAAATTTATTTGGAATTAAATTTTACGTTTAGAAACTTTAAATTAATTTTTTTGATAGTGACACAAAATTATAGTATCTAATAAAAATTTAATTTGGAGAAAAAATAAATAAATTTCGTTCAATTAAACGTTCAGAACTTTGGGATTATGATTTTTAAGTACCTTTTTTCATATAAATTTGAATTATAGTAAAAGGTCTCTTATTAATAGTTGAATTTAATAAAAATGTCTAATAATTTGTAGTCAAAGTTTTTTATTTTATTCAGTAGTTTAAAATTATTTTTACTGAACTTTTAGTAAAAAATTCCTGAGAACTAGTAGAAATAAAATTATTCTTTTTTACTGAACTTTAAGTAAAAAATTCTTCACCAATTATTGACAATAATAAATTCTAGTATCAATGGTGATAAAAATTAATATTAACTAATATAATAGTTAAAAACATTGATGATAATAATAACAATAATAATAAAGTAATAGTAATAATAATAGTAATAATAGTAATCAAAACAATAATTAATATTAATTTTAATTAATATACTCGTAATTATGATAATAACAATTAGCATTAAACTGAGAAAACAATATATATTTGAATCAAACATAATTGTCGTTGATATACAATGAATCAAAAAGTGTGCTTGAATTAAGGAAAAATCTGATGGACAGTCAAAACAAAAATTAATCCAATGACATAATTTCGTATTTTAGAAGAAAGAGACAAAGTATAAATTTTAAATTTGTTTTCTTGGAAGGGTAAAGAATATAATTTTCAATATTTTAAACAATTAAAAATTTTATTTGAAATAAAAAAAAACCTACAATTTTTTTATCAATAAGAAATATTTGTTAATTTTTAGGTTATGTTACCTAAATTGTTTCTCATTGACAGAAAATTGTAATTTTTATTCAAATGAAACTTTAAATTGTTTAAAATGTTAAAAATTAAATTAAATTAAATATTAAATTTCACATTTAGAAACTTTAAAAATAATTTTTTTTTTGTAGAAATGATGCAAAATTATTGTAATAAAAATTTAATTTGAACACTGAAAATAAATTTATTTGATTCAAATAACTGTTTACTTGTTTATTATCAAATAAATATTCACTTGAATAAAATAATTTTTATTTGAGTAAATTACACTGAAAAAAAATTTACTTGCTTCAAATAACCTATTACTTGTCTATTGTCAAATTAATATTTACTTGAATAAAATAATTTTTATTTAAATCAATTAAATGGTTTTTGAACCAATAATTTCAGTATTTAAACCAATAGTTTCAGTATTTGAACCAAGGATTTCAGCATTTGAACCAATAGTTTCAGTATTTCAAGCAAATACTATTTAATTGACTCCAATAAAAATTATTTGATTCAAGTAAATATTTAATAAATTGATAGTAATCAAATAACTAAAATTTTTGTTAATTAATTCAAAATTAAAATTAAAAGCGAAGTAATTTAAATTAAATTTTTTTAACATTTATAATTTATAAACAACATTTAACATTTATAAATGTTATTTGCTTCAAATACTAAAATTATTGGCTCAAATACTATTTATTTGACTTAAACAATATTTATTTGATTTAAGTAAATATTTATTGGATAATAGACAAATAATTGGTTATTTGCATTAAATAAATATTTTTCAGTGTAATTGTTAAATATTATTATAACAATATAAATTGTTATTAAATTATAATAAAGTATTAAATGTAAATCAATTAAATAATAATTAATATTTATTATTATTATCATAAAAGTTTTGTTATACACTGTTTTTTTAAGAATATCAAATTGAGACAAAAAACGAATCAAAAATGTTTCGAAACAACATTTTTAATTCGTTTTTTGTCTCAATTTGAAATCCTTACACTGAAAAAAAATTTATTTGATTCAAATAACCGATTAATTAACTATTATCAATGTAACAATTAAATATTTAATTGAATCAAATAATATTTATTGGAGTCAATTAAATGGTATTTGAAACAATAATTTCAGCATTTGAAGCAAATACCATTTGATGGACTGCAATAAATATTATTTGATTCAATTAAATATGTGATTGACTCAAATGAATATTATTTGATTCAATTAAATATTTAATTGACTCAAATATGTATTATTTGATTCAAAAAAGTAGTAATCGACTCAAATAAGTATTATTCGATTCAATTAAATATTTAATTGACTCAAATAAATATTATTTGATTCAGTTAAATATTTAGTTGATAATAGTCAATTAATCGGTTATTTGAATCAAATAAATTTTTTTTTCAGTGATAGAAAGTGTACATATGTACTTTAATAATGAATGGAAAATTAAGAGTGTTTGTTAAATAAACAATTTTTTTCACTGATGACAATTTTTGGTGTGAAAAAAAAAATAATTTTTACATTGATGACAATTTTTGGTGGGAAAAAATTAGACGAAGAATAGTATAGTAGAGAAAAAAAGAAACTAAAGCCTTGTTTTCTGTTCCGGTGAAATAATATATATATATATATATATTTATTGAGGGAAAAAGTGAAATGAAACTTACGAAAATAGCATTATAAATGTTGTCGTAGAAAACTATTGGCGTCTTGAGTATTGCTTCGATAGAGGCCAGCTGCCCGCTGGGATCAAGTTTAAGAGTGTTGGCACCGGGGGTGGCGTATGGATAGAGATCATTTTTGGAAAGAGCAAGGGTGAGGGGTGCGAAGACCACGAGGGCGCCTATGATGAGGGCCCTAAAACGCGCACTATCAACCATCCTCTCGGAGTGTCTTAACGCGACTGTTGCTCCTGTTGCCGTTTACCACACACTCGTCTCTTCTTCTTCTTCCCTATAATCGTCTTTCCTTCGATGAGTTAGACTTGGGGTCACATGTTATGTCCTCCTCGATCACATGTGCTCTCCATTATATTTATGAAACAGGGAATGCACTCTCGTGCGGTCCGCGATAATTTTCGTGAGCAACGCGCTCTCAATCCTCCGCCCCCCCCCTCCCCTCTCCATTTTTCTATATACTTTGAGAAAAAAAGAGCTGCTATAATTCACTTTTTTCTTCTTCTTCTTTTTTTTTTGCCTTATAACGTGTAAGACACAAGAGAGACGCATCACTCTTTAGAAGAAATCACTTCTCATTTATCTCATTCCTTACTTCCGAAGGAAACTGTTCAATCAGCTTGGCATTCCACTTTACCTTCTTTGCTCATTGCTCCAATTGAATCATTCACTTATCATTTTAATACAGAATAAGTGAAAAATATTACCATATAAATTTTTAATCGCTCGAACTTTATTTGAAAAAATTATCCGAAAGAGAAAAAGAGAAAAAGAGAAAAAGAGAAAAAGAAAGAATAAATTACAGTTTATTGAAAAATTATTTCTATTTTTGTAAAACTTGGATTTTTTATATTAAATTTCTCTATTTAGTAGAAAACGAAATACTTTTATAGGAAATATTCTCATATTTCGTATAAAAGTATTTCGTATTCTATTAAAATAAAATAGTAAGAATATTCTTTAAATATTTGAATTAGTAAAAATGTTTACTAATTCGAATTAGTGACTGATTTTTTGCTTTTGAATTAGGAAATATTACTAATAAATTAGCAGAAATTACTATTTACCTGTTAGTAAAATTTACAAATAAAAAATTTACCAATCAAATTTACTAATAAATAAGTAAAATTCACTAATCAAATTAGTCAAATTTACTAATCAAATTACTATTTACCTATTAGTAAAATTTGCAAACAAAAAATTTACTAATAAATTCTAATTTCTGCTAATTCATTAGTAAAATTTACTAATTAATAGTAATTTCTGTTAATTTATTAGTAAATTTTATTAGTAAATTTTACTAATAAAATTTACTAATAAATTGGTATAAATTACTTTTCGCTTTTGAATTAGTAAATTTTACTAATAAATTAACAGAAATTCCTATTTATTAGTAAAATTAACTAATAAAAAATACTAAAAAATTGGTATAAATTACTTTTCGCTTTTGAATTATTAAATTTCAGTAATAAATTAGCAGAAATTACTATTTATTAGTAAAATTTACAAAAAAATTGGTATAAATTACTTTTCGCTTTTGAATTATTAAATTTCACTAATAAATTAGCAGAAATTACTATTTACCTATCAGTTAAATTTGCAAATAAATATTTACTAATTAAATTTACTAATAAACTGGTATAAATTACTTTTCGCTTTTGAATTATTAAATTTTACTAATAAAAATTTACTTGTTATTAAATTGTAAATTTAATTGTCAGTGAATTGTAAATTTACTTATTAGTAAATTTAATAATAAATTGGTATAAATTACTTTTCGCTTTTGAATTATTAAATTTTACTAATAAAAATTTACTTGTTAGTAAATTGTAAATTTAATTGCCAGTGAATTGTAAATTTACTTATTAGTAAATTTAATAATAAATTGGTATAAATTACTTTTCGCTTTTGAATTATTAAATTTTACTAATAAAAATTTACTTGTTATTAAATTGTAAATTTAATTGTTAGTGAATTGTAAATTTACTTATTAGTAAATTTAATAATAAATTGGTATAAATTACTTTTTGCTTTTGAATTAGTAAATTTTACTCATAAATTAGCAGAAATTACTATTTATTAGCAAAATTTACTAATAAATTTTACTAATAAATTAGCAGAATTTACTAATAAATTGGTTTAAATTACTTTTTGATTTTGAATTAGTAAATTTTTAATAATAAATTAGCAGAAATTACTATTTATTTATAAAATTTACTAATAAATTAGTGTAAATTACTTTTTGCTTTTGAATTAGTAAATTTCACTAATAAATAAGCAGAAATTACTATTTATTAGTAAAATTTACTAATTTAAAAGTAAAAATTCAGTCACTAATTTAAATGAAGAATAATAATAATGAAGAATAAAATAAAATCAAAAACATATAAATAAATAATAGGAATAAATAATAAAATAAAATAAAAATAAATAAATTTGTAGATAGTTGAATGAGGCATGAAATAAATAATTAAAATTCCTCTGTATCCATTGTAAATTGATCTTTATTACAAGTAATTACATATCTAATTTGTACATATCAAATATAAATATAATACAATGACTATGTTACAATATTTTTGAAAGGATTTAGAAGTAGATCAATTTATGACAGACGGACTGGCTCCCGAGTGGCAAATTCATATTGCCAACGAGAATGGCAAATAAGAGCTTTGGAAAATTGGCCCTTTTTGTTTTGACAACTATTTATAATTTAAAAAAAGAAATTAATACAAAAAACTTTCCCAAATTTTCGAGAGCACTCATTAGTCCGATAAATAAATTGAAAATCGATGGACGTTGACAATATCTTCGAAGTACTTTTTTTTCATCTCCCAAGTCGATTTTAATAAGGAAAACATTTTTCTTCTTCTTCTTCTTAAAAATTTTTTACGATTCCAATGATTTAAAATAAAATTATACATTCAGAGAAACGTAGAGAGCAATTCACATTTTCTGTCTTTTCGAAAATTTTTTTGAAGTAATAAAACTTTTAATTTTAAATTTAAACTTTAAATTTTTGTAATTTAAAGTTTAAATTTTACAGTAAAGTTTTTAATAAATAAATTTTAATATTTATTTGAATATTATTAATATTAGTAATATAATTTTATAATAAATAAATTGTAAGATAAAAATAAATAGTAAATAAATTTTATAATAAATTGTGTCGTGCTCTGAAGAAAGGTACCTAAGAAGTAACTTATGTTAAGGTTATGTTTGTCGTATTTTTATCATAATTAAAAGTTTCTGTTTAATTAACAAATTTTTTTTTTAATTTAAAACCATCGAAAAACTTTTTCTATTCTTTTCGGTTTCGTAAAGAAAATTTTTTTCGACGCTAACTTCAGAAAATTGAAACTTTTCGCTTAGGTACCTTTTTTCAGAGCGCGCTACAAATAAATAAATTTATTTTCTCTTCTTGAATAAATAAAATAATAATTGATTGGAAGAAAAATTCTATAGTTTTGCTTTTAATTCGATTTTCTAAATTTATAAGAAATTTTAAATTTAGATTTAAAAGCAGGACAAATATAAATTTACTATTAAAAAAAAAGGAAAAAAAAATTCAATGTACAGTAGAATTTTTTTAGTTAAATTTTAAAAGAATAAAATTTGTTTTCCGTGTTGTGTTTGTTTTTTATTGAAAAGACAAAAAATGTGATTTTGAGAAACGGAGGGTGATGAGGCTCACGCAGAAAAGATACTTATATAATATTGTTATCTATGCGTGTGGTAGAATTTTTTTTTTGAGCTACGTTTTTTTAATTATTCTTTTTTTTTCTTTAATTATTGGAGTCTCTCTAAGTGAATTATAGGAGCTCTACAAAGTGCAGTAACTGCGATAACGATTAAAGCTACGATATTATTTTGAATTAACGTGCGTGCATTAATATTATTACTTACGGCCTGTGTTTAAATTGTAAATCGTATATCAATTTTGGCAGTACGATTTGCGTTTATTTTTTTTTTCGGAAGAGTCAGTTCGATTCTTATCGCACCCTGATTGGTAAAAATCTTTTTTTTTAAATTAGGAAAAAAGACTCTTTTTTATATTGAAAGGAAAAATTTCTCAACTTATATTCAAATATCACCATTATCGAAGGAAGACAAAAACTTGGAAATATTCAACTTTCATTTTTAACTTTCATTGGAAAATTGTTCTTTTTATAAAAAGTTGTCAATTTATTTTTTTTATTTGTAGAATTTGATATGAAATTTTGAAAAAATTGACGGATTTTTTTTTTAGTGATAAAAGGTTTGGTACGTTTGGTTTTTTAGTTAAATATCACGAGAAATTGATATAGAATAAAAGTGTCGTTTGAACGAAATTTTTCGTCTTGAAGAAATAGTTTTATAAAAAATTGTGAAAATCGTTTATGAATCGTAATGAAAAGTTTTGTTTTAAAATTTCTGTTATAACATCGAAGTTTATTCGAATCCCACACACATACACTTATTCACTCACTCTTTTTGTTTAAAACTTGGAAATAGAAAAATTGGCTAACAGTCTTTAATCGGAAGTCTGTTTATCTGTTTGCCTTTGCAGTCTCTCAGTCTCATCAAAATGACTTTTGTTTTTTTTTTCTTATTTTTTTTGGCAGTTCTCTTTTTATACTCAAAACAAAAGTTTTGATAATTTTTCTTTTTCACTTGGTAAACGAAAAAGTTGGGTGGAAAATTTTTAATTTATCTATTTAGAGTTTTTGGAATAAAATTGCAATGCTGGAATTTTTTTTTGCTGAACACTTTCTAAATTCGAAACAAGAACATGTGAAACGTTTTTTTAAAAACGATTCTTTAGAAATGTGGGGAAAAAAAATTAGAGCATTGAATTTTTTTGTTTTACACACACGTCGGTCACAGTTTTTGCTACAAATGTAGAATCTCAATTTTCTATTTCGATCATGGTTTTCTTTTGTTCTTTTTTAGAAAAATTGTGATTTCCTTGAAAGAGTAGTGTTCGTTTTTTGGAATTACGATTTCATTTGATCAGCACGAAGTAATTTGCGCTGATCCAAACAATTGTTAAGTGATTTTGATTCCAGTTGGTGATTCTAAGTATATCGATTCTCTCCGCGGATAGGAATCAAAACAGGTTATAAGTATCACGTGACTCTTGCAGGCTTCAACTCTTTTTTGGAGAATGAACGTCTCTGCTTCGAGAGCTTCCAAGAAAGCTGGATCCCGCCAGTCCATACTGTTCTCCACGTGCACTGGAAAATTTATTAGTTTTTTTTTTTTTAGTTAATTTTGGAACTTTTATTTGGTTAGAGAAATCAGGGGATTCAGAGGAAAAGTAAGGGAAAGTAGAATTTGTCAGGGAAATCAGGAAAAAACAAAGTTGAAAATTTAAATGTTTGAAACACTTTGAAATTTGGAATTTTTGTTTGTAAATACTTGGAAATTTAAAAAAGTTTGGTTAAAGTGATGGTTTCTTGTTAGAAATGGGAATGGAAATGGGAAATTTTCGATTTTAAAGTTATTTCATGAAACTTACGTTCGTAACTCCATCGGTCATCGGACACCATTAGCCGCTTTTTGGCATCGCGTAATTCCTGTCTAAGAAGGCGCTGGCGCAGACGTAGGTTGTGTATCTTGAACATTATTCCACGCGGCTCCGAGCGTAGTTGTGCGCGTCTGTCCAGAGTTGCTACGTCCTCGTCTGTGTAGACGAGAATCCCCGCGGGCATTCCCTGGGCCGGGACCCGGGGCTCGCATCCTGCCTCCGGTCGTCCCACCGCTGAAACACCCGCACAACGTCGAGGTTAGAACTCCCAGCGCGCCACCTGAGGAGAGAATCACCGAATGGGGCTCGATTTTAGCCGATTGCTATCTTTAAATTACAATTTTTAATTTAAACTCTCCAATATTTTCTCTAGACTTTGAATTTTTTATATTATATTTTTCCAGTGAATTGTGACAAGTCCATTACCGGACATCAAAAAGTTACTCAATGAATACATGAATTTGCGATTCGACTATAATATGTTGTTTGAAGGAAATAGTGAGCGCAAGAAGTGCGAATTTGATTAATGGAGTTTCATTGAAAGGCGATGGGTCATGAAAAATTACGTTCAAGGGCCTGCGAAAAAAAGCCAATAACACTTTTGTTATTGATGAAGCCGAAGGGAGACACGACGAGAATTAAAAAAAAAAGAAAGAAAGAAAGGGGAATATCGAGTGGAAATTTATATTATTTATACCTTGATGTTCCTGAAGGGCATTTGTGTGTCTGGACGAGTCACTTGCAATGCTGCTGGTCTCACTGTCGCGAACAATGCTATCATATCCTGAACTTTCTGCTCGATGTCTCGAAAGTGTCGCTGGCGAAAGTTTAGCAGCTCTTGGCGTTGAATCAGCCCCCGAATCATAACCGTCTTTATTTAAACCAAACGATGATCCAAGACTCAATATTTTCCTCTGCATCCGTCCTGATGATGGCACGGAACTTGGAATCGATATTTGCAGTGGTGTCGCTACTGTAATTTTGAAAAAAGTACTTTAGATTCTTTTACATTCTCGAAACATTCCTTTTGCACATTTAGGGAAAAAGTTGACTTCACTTGAACTTTAATGAACTTAACATTAATTTAACTTTAAATTTGGAGCATTTACCTATTGTTTTTCTGTCCTCTTCGATGTCGGATTTGCCAGTAACTGTTCTTTCGGATCTCTCGTTTGTGCTGAAGAGTTTCTTGGCCTCGACATATTCCTCCTCGGGATCGGAGCCCGAGGCTCCATTACCAGGTATCCTCTCGATTTCCTCCTTGAGATTTGGATTTGAAGCACCGTCGGGATGTCGTAGACTTGAAATGTTGCATTCTCCCAATTTTCCGCAATATCGTCGGGGACTGGCGAGATGTGCAACACTACTAGGATACCAATAGGAGGCTGTTTCTGGCCTTGACATTGTCTGTCGACAATTGTCACAGATTTTTTCCTGCTCCGATTTACCGGCAATGTAGGCAGGTTCACTGAATGTACTGCCATGATTGCTGGCATTGTCGTTGAAGAGAACGTCCGAGAGGGATAACGATTGACACCGAGATGGTGGACGGAAGGTCGTGGCGGCTGGAATTTGTCCTGCGTTAATAATTGCATACTTGATTGTAAGCAATGATATTTGGAGCAAAGTCCATGTAGTAAATTTCTCATTAGTGGTTTATTTCTTAAAATTTCCTTAAATTTCGTTTTTTTCGTCATTTATTTTCTGGTCATAGTATAAAAAGTCATAGTTTGAAATTACTTTTTCGAAAATTTCTATAATTAGCATAAAGAAAGAAAAAGCAGAGAATTTTGATTTCTAATTTGAAAGTATAAGGATTTCAGTTCAAGTATTTTGATAGCGTTCCGTAAATGTTTAAGATTCGTCAGACGGACTTCCTTAAATTGAATGTAAAAGAGGGTAAGGAATAAAACTTACATGGAGCATCTCGAATGGTGACTGTTGAGGAGTTTTCCCTCTGATAAGTCGCGGAATTGGAAACGTTGGCAAGGGCTAATTTACTTTGGTACAACTCGTGGAGACGAGCCAATTGATCGAACTTGTGTCTGCTTTCTTGTTCCAAAAAGTCCTCGTGATCGAAGTAAGGCCGCGGCAACATTCCCATTCCCACTGGTAATTGATATTGAGGTCTATATCGTTCAGTGTCCGACATTACTGACATTGAATCTATAAAAAGAATTTTTCGTTTTATTTCTTAAAAAAAATGACTACTTCGTTTTTTTTCAACTTATTTACTATATGAAAACTTATTTACTACAAGTAAACTTATTTACTATAAGGAAACTTATTTTCTATAAGGAAACTTATTTACTATAATTTACTATATAAGACGTAGATATAAGGATAGAATTGGAAAAAGGAAAAATTCGTAAGTTGCTGGTAAGGAGAAATAAGGTAAAAATAGAATAGGAAAGGGGTTGTATTGGCTTTGCTACTTTGAGAGCGTGTCGACAAGTAATTACAGACTTGAGGATATGATTGTTTCCCGCAAGAAGAACATTTGAGCGAGAGCATTCTGTTTATTGAGAAAGGTTCAGAATATGGGGTCAAAGGGAATCGATAAGAGTTTTTTGTGTGGTAAATAAATTACTGTCTTTCAGTGGGAAAATAAAAGAAAATTTCAATTGTAATAAATGTTTCATCGGTAAATATTTATTGTAGAAAATCTCTTTTTACCGTTTAGGACTATTTTTACTATCATCAACCCATATCGGCTGTTCGACTAGTCGAACACTAAAATTCTAGACATACAAATGAAAATAAAAAATCGCCTTTAATTTCTACTCTGTCTGCTAAATTTGACAATAATTTAATCAACTTACTCTGTAAATTTAAATCAGTGAGAAATACATAACTGATTTATAAGCAAATAGTCAGTCCGTTTTATAATAATTCTTTAGGCTCAGGAAAGAAATGAAAAGTTTTTTTGGAATTCAGGGAGAAGTAAGGGAAAATAAAATAAAATTTTTTGTGGTAATCCTGATGAAAACTGCGGAGTTTTGTGAAAAATTGAACTAAAAATTTAAGAGTTAAATTAAATCCGATATGTTCTTAATAAAATTCTGAATGAAATTCTCAATAAAAAATTAAGAACTACTAAGCAATTTTTACCTGTAAACGTTGAGACGACGGTGAGATTTTCCTGACTCAATATCCTGAGGGGATGTTCCTCTTGATCACTTTCGGGCAATGGATTTTCTCCCATGCACAGTGCAATGTCCTCCTCTGTAACTTGAAGACAAGAATCTTGCATTGGAACTGGTTCGAGATCCTCAACCTCGACAATTTCCAAAATCTCATCTTCTGAAGACAATGAATGTCTGGACGGTAGTACGATATCTTTATGAGAGAGATTTAAACTTTCCATGGAAACTTCGCGACTCACGCCATTGCTTAGAGGTTCAATCAGAGGCAATGGTGGAGGGACGACAATCTCCTCGTCATCATCTTCATCCTCATGAATGTCGAGTTTACTTCTACCCAGAGAATTATCCAGTATTGGACTCGCAGTCAAATCGAGTCCAGAATCAGTATTGGATTTAACATTAAGAAGATTTAATTTCGCTCCCAATTTTTCAGTGATGTCTTCGATTTCACTTGCTTTTAGACTTTCGCTCTCGACAGTTGATAGCGATGTCTCGTCATCATCGATATTTTTTGATATTTCCTTAAATTGAGATGATTGACCAGGTTTGGAATGACCGCGGGAATTGTATTTAGTCCTTTGTATTTGGGACGATTGATTCTCGACCCATTTTCTGATCATACTTTTCTTGTGACTGTCCATGAAACCATAGCCGGAATGTTGTTGATGTGCTGTTAATTGCATGGGACCGTCTATCCAAGTTTCGCGCTTGTGATGATGGGAGTCTTTTAGTAAGTGCCTGGCTTCGGCGACTTTGGACTTGGAAATTCGGGGACCGTCGATCCATTGTTCGTCGGTTGTGACGGCGACGGGAATTTTGCTGTTTGGCGAGTCGGCGCTTTTGGAGATTGTTTTTGTGGAATTGTTTTTTCGCGCGGGACTCGCTTTGGGGGTAATACTGTGGGCTGGTGAGGTTTGTTTCGAGGCTGTTTGGGTGAGAGCTTTCACTGCCTTTGTTGCCTTGTGGGCTGGACTTCGTTCCTCGGTTATTTTATTGGGCCTTTCGGCGGCTGATCCTCGGAGAATGCGACCCATTGCGCATCGATTGTCACCGGAATTGAGACTTGGGATGTAGACAGGGGGGTGTTCGCCGTCAGTTGCGTCGTCTGTACTTGGACCTACGTAGATGACAGTGTCGGCTGATAGGTCACTCGAACTTGGATCGCATTCGCTGTTTTGTCGGGCAGCTTCCTCACCGGAACTGCCACCACTTCCGGTGCCCTGAACATTGTTGCCGATGAACTTGATTTTTCTTCGACGCATTCGATGAATTCTTGAGGCTAGTTGAACTGTTGTTAGGGTTTCGCTGTATTGTTGGGAGTTTGGTGAGACGTGGGCGATCATCGCCGCGTGACAGGTTAAGGATCCGAGGCATTCTTTGAGGAGTTGGGTTAATTTGTGCTCTTTGTAGGGCAGATGCTTTTGACCGTTAAAAATCGCTATGAGAATGTTTCCTAGGCCTGAGAGTGGAATTCCGCCTGATGATTTTCCTCGATCCGAGTTTCCTAGGTCCATTAGGTGTAGTCTGCTTCGACCTCCAGCGACTGCGAAGAGAAAATTTATAAATATAGTCCGAATGTTTTCGTTTTATTTGCCTTATTTTATAAAATATTTCGGAGGTTAAAGATTATTTAACTAATTGAGGCTCCGGATCTTAAAAGGGTCATTGATTTTAAATTGGAAAGTACCATTGATTTTAAATGGTAAAAGTGCCCTATTAAGATCCGGAGTTACAAAAAATATTTTTACAAAAATGTGAAAGTACATTAGTATTTTTTAAAAAGAGAAGGTCTTGTATTTATGCGATTTTTGTTGGTGAATTATTACCTCCCCCTTTACCGGCGACACTATACTGGTAGACGTGAAGGGTATAAAGCATGTGAGTATCGCCTTCTCGTTGACGACCAGCAACAGCGGCGTCGAGATAAAAAGCTGCTCGTTCAGCAGTCGGAGCACGAAGTTCGCTGTGCTGTTGAAGTTGCAAAGTCCCGAAAAGAGGATCATCCCTTAAATATACAGCCGGTGATTGCTCAGAATCTGAAAGAAAAGAAAAGTTTCAAAATCATTTCATCTCTTCAATGCCAGTCAATAGAATATACTTTCTTTTAAAACTACATGTTCAAATTTTACGTCGAAAATATAAAATCTCTTTCTGAATGTTAATCGAAACCAGTATTTAAATTTATCCTTACAATATATGCAGGGTTACCACCGGTCAGGGAAATCAGGGAAAACCAAAGTTAAATTTTTCTGGCAACCCTGATATGCTTTTTAATGTTCCCAATATATGCTTTTCGTTAATGTTCCTAATATATCCATATTTTGTTAGTGCTCCTAATATTTATTTCCCGCTTCGGCACCAAAAAGAGTGAATATGTGAATATTTTGACAGTTTGCGGAAAATTAGCTTCACTAAACTTTGAAAAGAGTATTAAACTTAAAGTTTATAAGAACGCTGAAGGGTTGCAATTTAGAGTTCATTCTCTTATGATCGTTTCCCCTCGAGAAATAAGTAAAGATCGAGATCGTAAATCGGTCGACGACGCGTTCTCTTTATCTTTAATGTTCTTTTTTCTTTTTGAAATACGTATAGAGTCGGAAGGGGGTGATGATAAAATGTAGAAAGATACGGTTATCCGTTATAACCCGTAAGAAACGAGCGATCGGTGTAATCAACGTAATGTGGAATCTTGTTGTAAATAGTCATCAGTATAAAAGCGTACCTAATAAACGCTACTCGTGATGCACAGGTAATCTTCTCGTAAAAGTCAGACACGAAGATATTTACTTTTATAGAGCACGTTCGCACATGTGGCCGATTTGATATAAATAAAATATTAACGGATTAAATTCCGTAAAACAAGAAAAACTCCCTTTTTTCGATTTTCAATATTTTTTTTTCTATTTTTAAACTTTTCTGATCAAAATTTCGAAAAAGTTACTAAGTACCTAAAGTAAAATTTTATAAGTTGGGTATAAATTGTCGTATTTTGGGGAAAAGTTTAAATTAACATAAAAGAAGATCTAACGGTAATATTTTTTAAAGGCTTTGTGTAGAGGAACTATATATAATTAAAGAAGGGTGAAAGCCGACCCTACGCCATGATCTTCCAACAATTTCGAATAAAAGTAAAGCGCAGAACAAAAGTAGAGAAGAGTCGTCGTCCCTCTTATGATGGTTTCTTTAATTGCTCCCGTGAAGTGGATGCGTAACGTTGCTCGTAAAAGTTTACAAAAAATGTTCCGTAAAAAAGAAACTCCTTCAAGTAGAAGAAAAATAAAAGTCAGTTTTAAAATTTTCTTTTTTCTTTCTTTTGATTTTTTCTTTATCGATTTTTAATTTAATTCGATTTTAAAGAAAAATTTGATCGAAATGATATAAAATCATCATCGAAATTGCATTAAGAATCGTTAATGATTTTTGTCGTTTGACACTTTCTAGGTGTGTTTTTTTTCGAAAAGAATTGCACTTAATAAAAATTGTGATAGGACATAAAATGTGAAAGACAAGGCCAATATTTTCGCCAAGTAGCTTTTCTACCCACTTTTGCGGAGTGGCATTCCCTGCGTGTGGTCTTAAATGGCAGAGTGCGTGTTACTATACGACTGTGTGGCAATATCCATAAAGGGGACAAGAGGAAGTAATATTACCGGCATCTGTGACTTCTCCAAGTAAGAAAGAGAAGCAGCCGTTATCAAACGTATACTTTGGAAAATAAAAGAGAAAATTTCCCTCAAAAATTTAAGAATAGAAATACAATTGTATTAAAGATGTATGCGCGCCTCCTTTATACGCGCAACCTGACTTTCATGAGATTTAAACCCATTGCGTCGTCAAGGAGTCGATTTTTATTAAATCGTCTTTGGTACTCCGGGCGAATATATTTTTCACTCGTTTTTTCCTTGGAAAAACTGTTTTATTTGCTTTATTTGAAAAGTAAAAAAAAATTATTTGTAACTTGTTACAACATTCAAAACATTTTTTATGCAAGAAAACAATTATATTTTCTAGATTTACATGAAAACGTATCTATACGAAAAAGTTTACTAATATTTTAATGAGGTTTACTATAAAATATAATCTCTAATGTGAAAAAAAAATAAGAGTACATAAGAAAACATCGCAACCCTGTCATTCTGTCATGTATTCGTGTATGTCTATACGGAATAAATGCAAATACAAGAAAACGTGTTAGAGTGTTTTTTCTTGTATTCGTGCGTTTTTCTTTTTCCCATTTTGGAATCCGTTAAAAGCCGCGCGCACGAGCGATGATGTTTTATTTTGCACTCTCACGCGAATGGAACAAGAATGTAAAACAATAACCGTATAGTGAGAGAGACATGAGCACACGCGAGAATTATTATGCACACCCTGGAGGATAAAGAAAAATGTGAAGTATGCCAGTAAGAGAAATTCTTCCCTTATGATAATCCACACAACCAGATCCATTATATGTATTATATTCTGGTCACAAGAACATGAGAATTAAATTTTTTTCCGGGTATTTAACGTGCGAAAATAGAGCAGAAAAAAAATTAGCCTCCCATTTTTGTTTTTAATTCTGATCAAAATTTTCAATTATACTTTTATAAATAAAAAAATACTTTAAAATTAAATTATTTAAAAAATTTTAATAAAACTTTTCAAAAGAATTCAATTATTTTCAAAACTTTCATAAAATTCTTCGCAGAAATTCAATTATTTTCAAAAATAATAAAATTTTTATCAGGAATTAAATTCTTTTCAAAACTTTCATAAAATTCTTCGCAGAAATTCAATTATTTTCAAAAATAATAAAATTTTTATCAGGAATTCAATTCTTTTCAAAACTTTTATAAAATTCTTCACAGAAATTCAATTATTTTCAAATTCTTCAAAAAGTTTTTAATTATATTTTCAAGAATTGTTAATAAAATTATTCGTAAAAATTAAATTTTAAGAAACATTCAATTATTGAATACATTATTTATTTTTGTATTTAAATAATTGAATTCTCGTAGAATTTTTTAATAAAAATTAAAAAATTGTTTCAAATTGAATTTCGATTACAATTTTAGTTAATAATTGAATATTAAAAGTATTATAAATAATAAAAATGTCACAAGTCACAGGAATTCAATTATTTACGTATTTTTTATAAATTTCTCCTCAATTATTCAATTATTTTCATAAATATTAACACTTTTTACCTGAATTCAATTATTTTTATAAATAATGAAACTCGTAGCAGAATTTCAATTATTTTTAATACAATTTGAATCAAATTTCTCGAAAATTTTAATATTCATAAAAATTTTGTTAAAATTCGTCAAAAGAATTCAATTATTTAAAAATTTGTTGATAAAATTCTTTAAGAGAATTTAATTATTCAATGAATTATTTAGTTTTGTATTTAAATAATTAAATTCTCGTAGAATTTTCTAATAAAATTTGATTTCAAAATGAATTAGAGTTAAAATTTTAGATAATAATTGAATATTAAAATCATTCCAGTGTGAATTCTTAGTAATAATTTAATTTTGTAAAGGTTTTAAATTAAAATCTTTAGAAATCTTAATTTTTCATACTTTTAACTAATAATTCTGTAGAATTAATATTTTTGAAAAAGTTTATTTGAATTTTTTTAAAATTATTTAAAGTTTTTATTTTCTAATATATATTTAATTGAAAAATTTCCGAATTCTCGAAATTTCATATCAAAATTTCAATTATTTCAAAATTCATTGTAAGAATTCAATTATTTTCATTAAAATATTTCAAAAGAATTCAATTATTCTTTAAATTTTTTATTTCCTTGTTAAAATTTCAATTATTTTTAAATTCATTGTAAGAATTACATTATTTTCAATACAATTATAATAAATTATCTAAATTCAGTTATTGTTAAAAATTTTGATAAATTTCTTTGCAGAATTTCAATTATTTTGAATTTTTTGCATTAATTCAATTATTTTCAATAAAATTTCTCAAAAAAATTCAATTATTTCAAAATAATTTATTGTAAGAATTCAATTATTTTTATTAAAATTTCTCAAAAGAATTCAATTATTCTTTAAATTTTTTATAAATTTCTTGTCAAAATTTCAATTATTTTTAAATTCATTGTAAGAATTAAATTATTTTCAATATAATTTTAATAAATTATTTAAATTCAGTTATTCTTAAAAATTTTGATAAATTTTTTTTTGCAGAATTTCTTTTTTTTACTGTTAGAAGATTCGAATTTCAAATGAATTTAATTATAACGTTTAAAGAACTTAATTGTTTAAAAAATTTTAATTACAATTCTGTTGAAATTATTTAAATGAAAAATTTTCTTGTAATTAAAATTTCGTATAAAATTGAATTGAAAACAAATGGATTTGAAAATTCTGAAAGAACATTTTCAAAAATTATTAAAAATAATTTATTTGAAGAAAAATTTTAGTTAAAAATTTAAAAAAAATAATAATTGAATTGAAATTATGAATATAATTTTAAAGAAGTCACAGGAATTCAATTATTTGCAAATTTTATTATAAATTTTTACGCAATTATTCAATTATTTTTATAAATAATAAAATTTTTTACAGCGACTCAATTATTTTCAGAAATAATAAAACTCGTCGTAGAATTCAAATTATTTTTAATACAATTGTAATTGAATTCCTCGAAAAATGTTAATATTCATAAAAATTTTGATAAAATTTGTGAAAAAAAATTCAATATTTGCAAATTTGTTGATAAAATTATTTAAGAGAATTTCATTATTTAATAAATTATTTAATGAACTACAGATAAAATTTCAGATATTAATTGAATATTAAAATCATTACAGCCTGAATTCTTAGAAATGATTGAATTGTGTAAAGGTTTCAAATTATAATCTTTGGAAATCTTAATTTTTCATACTTTTAACCAATAATTCTGTAGAATTAATGAAAAACTAAAAACTTTTTGAAAAAGTTTAATTGAAAACATGAAGAAGTCATATCTTCATAGTTATAAAAAGATTTCATTTATATTCTTAAGTAAAATGTTCTCTTATTTGATTGGGACAGGTTATATTTTTGTCAGTAATTGGTCCGTAATTTTTAATTTTTGGTCCATATTGTCCGTATTTTTGAATACTTTCACTGGTTCGAGCCTTACTTTCTTAATACAATTTTTAATGAAATTTATTGTCAATATTGTGAAATAAATTTTCGTGGAAATTTTAATATAAATTTCTTGAGGTATATAAATCGTGTAGAAAAATCAATTAACGAAGACTTAGTGTTTGGAGAAGCTTTAGGATAAAGAGAAGACGTGAATATTCAAAAGCCAGGTTCGACAATAAGGGATTATCTGGTTTATAGTCAAAAAGTCCTTTTCTTCCATGGAGCCATTCTAGAAATCCGGACGGTGAAAACTTTAAATAATTACTGGTAGGATTAACAACTTTAGTTTCTCAAGGGAAAGCAGAAGACACTTTATAAATCCTGGGACTTGAAGTTCCTTCGTGTTCGTTTGGAATCGGTGCGGTGTATAGTGTTAGTGAGAATGGAAAGAGAGAAAGAGAGAGAGAGAGTGAGAGTGAGATTTTCAACGAGAGTGGGACGATTCTCAAGACACGAGTTAATTATTTAATAAGCTGGAAAATTAATTGCATCGCCCTTTAATTAGTTTCGGGTTCGTCGCGAGGGGGAAAATGTCGTCCACGATTTTCTTCCTGAACGCTCATAAATGCCAAGTTGCGATTGTGGAAATTGTACAATGGAATACAAAGTATTTAAAATACAATGGTTGAGGTAGAAAAATATTTTTTTTTTTGGGACGAAATTTAATTTTTATTTTTCACTTGAGAGGATATAAAAATTTGAGATTGTCGATGAGCAAATATTCGAAAGAGCGACGAGACGCGACACGAGTCCTCCTTTTCGAGACAGTAGTTATTTGGGCAGGAATCCGTTGAAATTCCGTATGCTTTCCTATATCAGCCGCAATTTGGTTTTGCGAGCTTTTCACGGACCGTCGAGTTGACCAGGTGATCCGTAAAATTGAGATTCGGGATTATTGTCCTACTCTTTGCATTTTTATTTTAGTTTTATTATCTTCCTTCGCTTTTTTTCATTTTCAATAACAAAAAAGAATTCTGAAAGACATTGTGCTGTGGACTAATAATTTTATAGCAAAAAACGGATATTTTTTAATTTTTCCTAAACAGATTCTTTATAATGAAAGAACTGGCAACTTCTTGCTACCTTTTTTAAAAATAAAGTTAGCAATTTTAAAAATAATAGAATTGGAAAATTTTCTATTTTAAATTTTTGTTGAAAACACTAAAAAAATTTTATTTTGGAGAAATTACAAATGCACAAATTCAATTATTTTCAAAACTAATAAAATTCTTATCACAAAATTCAATTATGTTCAAAATTTACAGAAAAATCTCGACAAAATCCTAATTATTATCTTTATAAATAAAAAAATTCTTCTTCAAAGTTCAATTATTTTCCTAAATGTAAAAAAACTTCTTGTCCTAATTTCAATTATTTTCAAAAAATTTTCTAATTCCAATGATTTTCAATATCTACTATTTTAATATTTAATAAAATTTCCCAATAAGAATTCAATTATTTAAAAAAAATTTTAATAAAATTGTATGCAAACATTTAATTATTTTCATAAATAATAAAAATTTCACAGGAATTCAATTATTTTTATAAAAAATAATTTAAAATTCTAGAAAATAATAATTGAATTAAAATGATGAAAATAACTTTGATGAAGTTACAGTAACAATATTCTTATAATGTAAAATAATGATTTTATTACTTGGTCATCTTTAATTATTAGAAAACATGAAGAAATCGATCACTTCGAGTCGAAGACTCGGAGTTATCGATATCTTCATGTTTTATAACAAATACTTTTATAAGTTGTTTAATTTAAAAAAGGTTTGAATTTAAAATTTTTGAATGTCTTAATTCCTGTGGAAAATCCTGTTCCAAAAATAAGATTAAAAATAGAAATTGTGCAAATATTTTTCTTCTTCTTCTAAAACAAAATAATTATTTTGTTAAAAAAATTGTGATTCATAAACAAAAATAATGCAAAATAAATAAATTTTCTATCTGTTCGCAGTTTAAGGTTAATTGTTGTTTGCTTTTTTGTTTCTTAACTTTTTTATAATTTTTCTTTTCAAATATTTTCAATTTTAAAATTAATGTATTGAAAATCATCGAATTGTTGCAAAGCATTTTATCAAAAAAATTTACTGATAATAGAATTCCTTCAAAGAATTTTATTATTTAGGAAAATAACTGAATTCTCGCAAAGAATTTTATTAAAATTTTCAAAAATCCTAATTAGAATTTTTTTGAATTTTTTTTTAAACTAATGGAGTTTTTTAAAAAATTTTAATTGAAAATTTTGAAAGCAATTAAATTTTAAGAAGAATTTTATTAAAACTAAATTGAAAATAATTTAATTTCTGCAAGGAAATTTATTTACTATTATAAATAATAGTAAATATTACTATTAATTTATTTACTATTTATTAAAATTTTAGGAAATAATGGAAATTTATCAGAAATATTTTAAAATATTTGAATTTATCCGAGGAATTCAATTAAAATTGTTTTGAAAATAATGGAAATTTCTTCAAAGGATTTTTTTATTTTTAATAATAATTGAAATATTGCGAAGAATTTGATTATTTTTTGAAAATAATTGAATTCCTGCAAAGAATTTTACTGTTTATAAAATTAATTGAATTCTTGCGAAGAATTTTACTATTTATAAAAATAATTGAATTTTTTCGACGGGTTTATTAAAATTTTAGAAAAAAATTGAATTTTTTCGAAATATGTTAAACATTTTTTAAAAAATTGAATTCTTCCGAGGAATTCAATGAAAATTGTTTTGAAAATAATTGAATTATTGCGAAGAATTTTACTATTTATAAAAATAATTGAATTTTTTCGACGGGTTTATTAAAATTTTAGAAAAAAATTTAATTTTTTCGAAATATGTTAAACATTTTTTAAAAAATTGAATTCTTCCGAGGAATTCAATGAAAATTGTTTTGAAAATAATTGAATTATTGCGAAGAATTTTACTATTTATAAAAAAAATTATAATGTTTCGAAGAATTTATTAAAATTTTAAGAAATAATTAAATTGTTATGAAGAATTTTATAGAAATATTTGAAAATAATGCAATTTTTTCGAGAAATTAAAATAAAGTTGTTTTGAAAATAATGGAATTTCTTTAAAGAATTTTATTAAAATTAAGTATATTCAAAATAATCGAATTCATCACAAGAATTTTAATATTTTTTAGAAAATAATTGAATTCATCCCAAGAATTTTATTATTTTTTTTTGAAAATAATTGAATTCGTCCAATTTTTTTGACGAATTTATTTAAAAATTCCATTAAAAGTAATTTAATTTTGATATAGAATTTTTTTAAAATATTTTGAGAATAATTTGAATTATTTTTAGAGAATTTTAAATTCTGGTTGAAATTGCATTTTATGGAAATTTTTGAAAATAATTGTACTTAATAAGTAAATTTGTTAAATTTTGATTATGACAGAAAAAGTGAATGAATGAAAGAACATTCAAATAATTATAGTTAATAATTAATAATTTTTATGCATAGATTGAGAAATGGCTATTTTTAGCTTGTAGGGAATAATGAAAACTGCTTTTGTTCGTCTTTATAACAGTTGGCGCGACGACACATTTCACTAATAACCGCAAGTTCTAATTAATCCAAACGATTATACCAGTCAGTATTATTCGAGGCACGAAATTAATTGTGGGAAAGTGTCGTATTTGCGCTTATAACCGTTAAGCGTACCAATGTTGTAGTCATCCTAGAAGCAAAAGGGGGAGACGTAAAGTTCGTCTAGTACGTTGTACAATCTGCATGCTATTGCACAACCTTCTCCATAGGACCCTTAAGTCTCTTAGTGGCAGTCGAGTACAAATATAGTCAGGAACAAGTGCCTCCAAAGAAGAAGGGGTTTTTACATCAAAGCTCGCTTTCTTTCTCTTTAGATCAAAAAAGTCAATAACTCGCATTCAGGGTAAATAATTTTCAAAGCCAATTTCAAGTATCTTTTACGAGAAGAAAAAAGAAAGTAGGCGCATTGAAATTGAAACTGAAGTACAGAAGAGTTGGATATTTAATACAGTATAGTGGTTATTAGTTCTTTAATTTTAAACTGTGAATTTTATTATATTTGGAATAAAGAAAAGTAAAAAAGGAAAAAATTAAAATTTTTTTTTTAGTGAAAAGATATTTACCGTTTGCGTAGGCAGCTAACAAATCTTTTAATTGTTGTTGTCCTGCTGTCAATTCGACGCAACTTACTCGTACACTAAATCTAGCACCTGTCCTTTGTCGCTGTTCGGAAATACCGCGAAAAAGCCAAGTTATTGCACATGGAATTGCACCTAAGGTGTGGCCTGCCTCGGAAGTACCCAACATTGTGTGTGTTTTTCCTGAAACAAAAAATACATTATGTTAATTATTTTTTTCTCATTTTTGACACGTTTTATCCTCTGGTAGATTAAAGGAAAGTGAAGGAAAGTAAAGTAGAGAAATGTAAAGAAAAGTAAAGTAGAGAATATTAAGGCAAAGAAAAGTGAAGAAAACTGAAGTAAATTAAAATTTAAAGTGAAGTAAATTCGAAAAACAACTAAGCGCAATTCTTCGTTAGAAATTTAGAATTCGGTGAATTGATGGAATTATGACAATATTTGATTTGTGGTATGCTGGACGATTAATTTGTTTACAGTTTGCTAGACGATAAAGTAGATAGAAACCCGTGGGATAACATTGGTATTTTGGACCACAATGGTTTCGAATGATAAACGAGATTTCAAACAGGAATGCGACAATGAAACGATATATCATCAATGCTAGAACAACAGGTTTTACGATACAGTTTAAACATCATGTTCAAAATTATGTGATAAAAGAATACATTTTCCAAAAATACTCTTGTTCACACAAATTATCTCTTTTTGTTTCTGTTTTACTTCATTTTGTTAAAGAGAATTTTTAATCTCGTTACCAATGTGGAAAGTAGTGGTAGATTTTTTACAAATATTTTTCAGACAAAATTTTTACCTTCTGACGCATTTTTTTTTAGTAATAATTATATTTTGTACATCTGTAAAAAAAAATTCTATATACTTATAGATAAATTGTTTGTGTGTTCTTCTATTAAAAAACCAAGTGGAATTCTTTTCCTCTCTTTCTTTTTTCTCATCGAAAACTTGGAAGTCTAAACACAGAAAATTGATAACGAAACAAAAGGGCGGGTGACTTTATTAATATCGTAAAACAAAGAGAAATGGAAAGTAAAGGAAACGACGTGGAATCAGAGGTGGTCGAGGGTAGCATAACAGAAATAATGGAAAAGCCGGGAACAGACGTTGAATCTTAAGCGATATTTAATTTTCGCAGTGTAAGACGTTGAATTATGTTATTATTTAATTAGAAAACTGGAAAAGGGCTGCGTCATCGCCGCGGGTCAGTTTCAAATGAACCGCATCCAATGACAAAAGTTCTCCATTTATATCTTAAAACTTCTTCTCAAAACTGAATCACTTCTTTATATATATATACATACTTCTAACTTTTGCTTTCTCAGATTTGATTTGATACAATGGTTATGATTTTAATGTAAAGAAGTCGTAGAATTATTACGAATTCTTCTTTATTTACGCCTTGTGATTTTTTCTAGATTCTTTTTATTTTTTTACCCCAATTTTCTCTACAACTGAATCAGTTAAAATTTGAAACAGTGACTATATGACTTTTTGTTATCGAATCGGGTAAAAAATAAAAAAATAGTTGAAATTTTGACTGATTGAAATTTAGAGAGAATATTGAGGTTTGAAACATTAAAAGTTATTTCGGCAAATGATTATTTTATGATTATTATTGAAACAAAATTTTAATAAAAATTTCATAGGAATTCAATTATTTACCAATTTTTTTTATAAATTTCTTCGCACCAATTCAATTATTTATAATTTTTTAATGAAGTTTCTCGAAAGAATTCAACTGTATATAGAGAATTAAAAAAAATTGTTCTCAGAAATTCAATTATTTAGAAAAATTAAATTAAAATTCATTTAAAAATTCTATTATTTAAAAAAATTATAACAAAATTTTTTACAGAATTTAGTTCATATAATTGGAATTTTAATAAAATTTTCCTATACAATTCAATTATTTTCAATGCATTTCTACTTAAGAATTCAATTACTTTCACAAATAATTCCATTTTATATAGGAATTCAATTATTTAAAAAAATTTGAATAAAATTCTTTACGAGAAATCAATTATTTTCATAAATAATAAAATTTCAATTATTTTCAAAAAATTTTGATGAAATGCTGTATAAATTTGAAAAATTATAATAAATAAATTGATCATAGAATACAATTATTTTTGTAAAATATAACATTCTTCCTAGGAATACAATTACTGTCAAAAATGTTTATAAATATCTTCGAAATAATTCAATTATTTTTGTAAAAAATAAAACTCTTTGAAGCCATTCAGTTATTTAAGATTTTTTAATCAAATTCTTCCAAAGAATGCAATTCTTTGCAAAAATAAAATTTTTCACTGGAATTCAATTATTTATAAAAAAATGTAATAAAAGCTTTCGTCAGATTTCAATTATTTTCAATTTTTTAATGAAATTTCTCGATGTAGGTAATTTAATTATTTTTAAAAACTTTTAAAAAATTTTGAGAAATTCAATTACTTAAAAAAGTTTGAATAAAATTCTTCAGAAGAAATTAATTATTTTCGTAAATAATAATATTTTTCTCCGAAATTCAATGATTATCAGAAATAAAATTTTTCACAGGGATTCAATTCTTTCAAAAAATGTTTAATAAAATTCTTTGCAAGAATTCAATTAGTTTCATGAATAACAATACTTGTCGTAGAATTCCAAATAATTTTTATCCAATTTTAAATAAAATGATTAAAAATTACATTTATTTAAATTTTTTTTTTAAATTCACCGAATGAATTCTATTATTTTTAAAATTTTTGATAAAATCCTTCATAAAAATTCAATTTTAAGAAATATTCAATTATTGAATAAATTATTTATTTTTGTATTTAAATAATTGAATTCTCGGGAAATTTTCTAATAAAAATTGATTAAAAAATGAATTTCACTTAAAATTTTTAATTATAATTGAATATTAAAATATTTAAAATAAATATTTATTAATATTTTCATAAATTTTATTATTATTTAAATTCTGCTCAGGAATTCAATTATTTAAAAAAAATTTTTTTTTAAATTCTTTAAAAAGTTTTTAATTATTTTCAAAAATTGTTATAAAATTGTTTAATATGATAAATTTGAGTAAAATTTTAATTAAATTCCTTAAAAGAAATTAATTATTTTCAAAAGTTGTTAATAAAATTCTTCGTAAAAATTAAATTCTAAAAAACATTCAATTATTGAATAAATTATTTATTTTTTTATTTAAATAATTGAATTCTCTTAGAATTTTCTAATAAAAATTGATTTAAAAATGAATAATTGCAGTTACAATTTTAGATAATAATTAAATATTAAAAGCATTAAGGGAGAATATTTAGAAATAACTGAATTTTGAAAAGGTTTCGAATTCAAATCTTTGAAAATCAGAGTTTTTCGTACTTTTAACTAATAATTCTTCGTAGAATTAATTATATTTTATTATTAATTCACTGGGTTATCTTTAATTACAATAAAAAAATGAAAAAATCGATTACTCCGAGTCGAAGACTCGGAGTGATCGATTTCTTCATTTTTTATAATAATATATTCTTATAAGTTATTGAATTTCAAAAAGTTTGAATTTGAATCTTTTGAAGAATTTTTAATTTCTATGGAATAATAACAATGATTAAATATTTATTTAAAAAAAAGTTATTGATGTTTTCGAATAATTTTGCAATTAAGTATATCCGCAAATAAATGTATTAGGAATATTTTTTTGAGTATCTAATAATTTTTGGAGTGAATCAGAATATTCTTCAGGGTCAGGGAAAAAGTCAAAATCAATCAGGAAACCATCTGGAAATCAGGGAAAAGTCAGGGAAAAATAAAAATAAATTTTTGTGGCCACCCTGATCCAATTTCGTTAATTTAGTGTGAAAAATATGCAATTTCTTTTTGTGTTGACAGTTTTGTTCCTGACATGTGTTTTCGATTATCGCTACATGCATAAATAGTGACTCGATCGAAAGGGTAGTTTGTTCTTCGATGCGTGTAGCAAATTTACCCTTTTCCCTCTAAATGTCGCCTCTCCTCCCGACATTATATTTACAAAAAGCCAAAATGTCTACGGGAATAGATTTTTCATGTTTTCATCAGATGTGTATTTCATGTTCAACATTTTTACATCGCCACCCCTCTTGCCAAATTCGATTTTATTCGTTTAAAAAATTTCATTCTTTTTCTCATCTACCTATAAAAATTTAATGTTTTGTTTTTAAATACTGAAGTTTTTATAGTTTGAGAAAAAGGAGGACGGCAATCAAACAAAGGTTTGTAATCTTGAAAGTAGAGCCCATTTTTTTTTTTGTCAGTCATAGTAGTGAAGGCTTCTTCTTTTTTTTTTTTTAAACCATCCACATCAGGAATAGTGTGTCAAAGAGGTAGATTTTCAAAGCAACGGGATTTGTCACATAGAAAATCTGAAAAGGAAACGAGAGTGTCTCACACACAAGCGTGACAATACGCTCGTTTGTACTTTGCAAGCGCGTTGCTAATTACCCCAGCGAACAAGCCCCTTACTGCACCGAATTCTCCCCCTCTCCACCACCCTCTTTGGTTTTGCAAAACCCTTCTTTTTGGCTTGGTGACTTTAACGGGACGAGATAAATCCGACAGTGCGGACTGTCGGTCCGTCTTTTATGTATATACCTGTAAACGTGTCAGCGAGCGAGAGAGCGCAAGATCGTCCCTTTTGTATCGCATAATTTATCCCGCGACTGCACGCGAACAAAAGAGACATTAGCAATAAACGCCCTCGGATTTATGCACCGCCACCAAGCTAAATCCTGTCGATATATATTCCCTTAATCGCATCCCGCAATACACCTATTTCCGTTAATAAACTCCAAAGCCACTTGCTCTAATCAACCACGAGGTTTTCAATATTCAATTAACCTTTGACATTTTCCCTATTCGCAATAATAATGGTAATAAATAAAATTTTGCTTTTGCTACAAATGAGACAAAATTATTTGGTTAACATCTGTTGCTATATATGAAATTGTCCGGCTATCAACAAAGTTTGGACAAGAACTATAGATGCGTTCTCTGATGTTCAGGATGAGAAACTTTGAAAAATTTGCAAATTTGTAATTTTTAAAAATCATAATAAAAAGATTTTGAGAATGTTTATTTAAAAAATAAAATAATTATATTTTTTGAATTGAAAAAATCATTCTCGAAGGTAAATTTTT